AAAGAAAGAAAGAAAGAAAGAAAGAAAGAGGGGAAAAAAGAAAGAAAGAAAGGGGGAAAAAAGAAAGAAAGAAAGAAAGGAGGGAAAAAGAAAGAAGAAAGAAAGGCAAAAGAGAAAGAAAGAAAGAGGGGAAAAAGAAAGAAAGAGGGAAAAGAGAAAAAGAAAATCAGAACTCTCAGTAAGAACAAGATCACCCAAGCTAAGGTAAGAAATCCAGAGTAAATCCAGCGTGGCCACGCCAGTGCCGGCTCAGGGAGCGCCTGCCGTACAAACCCAGTCCTTCCCAGGGCTGTAGCAATATTTGATTTTGAGAGAGAAACAGAAGCACCAAGACCAGGGCCCAGCAAGTCCAGCCCAGCAGCACCCTGCTCCGACTCCCTTTCCTCCCTGGAGCAGGGGGAATCTGTTCTTGGTTCTTCCCTGTGCACACACGTAGGGGCACTTCATTTCCCAGTACACGTTTATTCTCCACCCTGCGCGACCGCCTCCCTGACGCCCAAGACAGCACGGTGTGAAGGCCGTCCTCGGCTCTCCGGAATCGCCCTCCGGCGCCTGCGTTAGGCACGCACACGCGTGCGATCTTCCCTTTTTATTGCCCACGCTGGCTGCAGGTGCTCATCGGAGACAGACGGAGCAGCAGCGCGGGCAGGAGCCGCCTCAGCAGCTAATCCCTCCCTGCTCCCCTCCAAAGCCACCCCCGGCATTATTCCCTTTTAATCTATCATTCCTAATGATAATATTTTGTGCTCACTGACACACACAGTCCCTGCTCCGCTGCCCGTAGGCAAGCACGTTTACGAGGGAGGCGGCACTGGATATATTCCCAGTTATTTATCCCCCTGCTGGTGCGATGATTTGCTGCGATACATCTTTCAAAATCAGCTAAACAAAGCCGCCGCTGAAACTTGAGGAAGAAGATAGATGAAATTAAGAAATAAAAAATAATCTGGGCCAGATGGCATCAAGAAGCTTCATACCCAATCCACAGCCCTGAGTGTCTGGCGACGTGAAGGAAGCTACTTTCAAAGCCAGGCACTTGCGGCACGGCTGAGACGGAGCCCACCTCGGAAACACCGCAGACCTCGTGGCGAGCCCTCCCATCTCATCCCCGACACGGGAGACTTTGTGTTACCACTGCCATTCCCAAAGCAGTTTCACAGAATCACAGAATCACACACAGAATCGTAAGGGTTGGAAGGGACCTCGGGAGATCATCTAGTCCAACCCCCCTGCTCAAGCAGGCTCTCCTAGAGCATGCTACACAGGACTTCATCCAGGCGGGCCTTGAATATCTCCAGAGAAGGAGACTCCACAACCTCCCTGGGCAGCCTGTTCCAGTGCTCTGCCACCCTCAGAGTGAAGAAGTTCTTCCTCATATTCAACTGAAACCTCTTATGTTTCAGTTTGCATCCATTGCCCCTAGTCCTGTCGCTGGACACCACTGCAAACAGACTGCTTCCGTCCTCTTGACTTCCGCCCTTAAGATATTCGTATGTGTTGATGAGATCAACGATGAGTTTCCCTTCATCCTACAGCTACTTTAAAGCCTTTATTTTCAGCCAAAGGCAGCCTATGCTCCCAGGCGGGGAGCTCAGTGAGAGGGGATGAACTTCCCACCCTGCACGACACTGTGCCGGGCCCTTCCTTGGGACACCAGGTCTCACCACTGCGTACTGGTGCTCCAAAGCCAACAAATAAGGAGCACAGCTTCAAGAGAAACATGGGGCCTGTCTCTGGCACTGGGGAGGGAATCTGGGATAGGAAAGTCTAGTAAAAGGAAAGCCTTCATGAGGTACCTGAAGGTCTTCGACCCTTGTTTCCCCCAGTCAAAGTTAGGAAAACCACCACCACAAAGAACTCCAATGGCAAAAGTTGTGTTTCCAGAGCTGTTACCGTACCTCGGTTTGCAGCAACAAAGCTGCACGAAGCCTGGTTTTGTGCGGTGACCAAGCCCAACCAGATTTTAGAATAAATCAACATACCGTGTCGCTACTTACCCTTGGGCCGACGTCCCCTGCTTCACCCTGTGCGTCAGGCAAAACAGCAAGGGTCAGCTCTTAAAGAGTTCAAATTTCAACCACGAAGGACCGAGCGCAAGGTCAGCTGGACGTGGGAACGGCACACAGGGGAAGTGGCAGAGTCCTATTGCTTAACGCATTCAAACCAGGGAGGAGAAGGGCTCAAGACAACACAATAGGGAATGGTTCTGCCCTGGCAGGCGATGAAATAGGTAATAAATCAGAAATAGCGGATTGTTTCCAACTCTAAGGCTCCCCTAGCAACTGCTTATGTCCTACACATGCGAGGATTAACATCACTTTCAGTACAGTAGTGACCTCCTTTGCCTGCTCTGATTTTGTGGGAGGGTGTCATGCAAACACGGAGCGCTGGAGCCCACAGCCTCGCTCCTGGGGAAAAGCAAGCAGAGAGTTGGCTGCCGCTCTCCTAACCCTTAAGGGGGTGCCAGGAACCCTGCAGCGTGGATGAGTTTTAAGGCCATACTTATTCCTCCTACATCTTCGCAAATTCTTTCTGCCCTCCCCTTCCCAGGGCTCTTCCAAAAGCAACCCAGGAACCCGCTGTCACGGCTCCATGCCCCAACAAAACCCGTGGTAATGTTCTACTGGTGTATGGGGGTAACCCAAACCGAGAGAATTAAAGCAGGAGGAGGACACGCGGCTGCTTCCCCAAAAGCCATGTATTAATGGAGTCTTTACCTTTTCCCCTTTCGGTCCCGGGGGTCCCTGGAAATACACGAGAAGGATCAGAGTTAGGAAACAGCAGAATCGTCAACACACACAACATCAAAACCAAGGAGATGGTATTCATCAATTCACTTGCCATTATTTTAAGTTATACATGCCGTTATTTGGCGTTATGCACCGCTTCACATGAGCAGCACCACCGAGGCCCCGCCTGCTCTCGCCAGCAGAGAGGACGGGAGAAGGACCGGGGCAGGGCAGGCAGCGTGACGGCCACTTGCAGACACGTGACTCCAAATGGACGCAAGAGATTTCTTCAAGTATTAAATCACTTCTAGAAAAACACATGCTCAGCGTATCATTCCACCAATTGTACATCTGCTCGAAATAACCAAGGAGGATGGGCTGCTGGCTGTGGCCTCGCTGCCGAAGCCGTAAGTCATCTTCCCCCCGAGCAGCGTTCTGCAAGACAGGCAGGCAGCACCGAGGAGGAGTAGCAGAGCCACGCGTTGATGTGCCTGCTCCGCATCCTCCTTCCAGCACAGAAAAACACGGAATCTTGGGGTTCGGCCCAATTCCCGGTGCTTGCCGAAGCAGGGCCCGGTGGGACACATGGGGAAGGTCAGCAGAGAGGCCAGCAGCGGCAGCATCTGCACCCCCCCTCCTGCTGTTAGCTGGCTCTCAGCAAGGCTGCTGGCCCCTGCTCGCACGGAGGAGATCAGGAACAGTCTGCTTTGAGGTGGGCTGTGTGATAAGTTTGCTTTTTCATTGAGATTTTCCCTGCCTCTCACCCAGGGGTCTCGGTGCTGCCCGGTGCACAGGCACAGCTCGCGGCCGTTTGCAGCCACGTGCACGCCAAGGGCGGAGGGCGAGGAGCGTGCTGCCGGGGCTCGGCTGCTCTTCCACCATGGGGCTTTGCTGACTTGAAGCCAAGCACAGTGGTGTCAACCAGCCTTCCAGTTTCTTGGGATTTTTTTCTCTTGTAATGCATTATTTCTAGATTTCTTTTCATTCACATTTGCCATCTTCAGGGGTAGGATAAAAGCCAAGCACAGCAATGTACAGTTACAAAACAAAAATACTCCCCAACTGGCTAGAAATAAATACCCGGAGTAACTTTTTGATTGCAAAGACTAAGTGACTGCTGCCTACTTTGAAAATTGCAGTTCGTTTAAGACTGGAGCTTGAAAAGATTTCAGGTGGTGCCCTCTAGTGAACACGGTGGGATGGAGTGGGGTCTGGACACAAAATACAGGGCTGTGACTGCCTGCGGCAGCCGTCCAGCCGAAGGAATCAGAGCTGGCCAGGGTTCAGCTAGCATGAAGATAAAAAAGTCTGTGCTTATGTAGAACAAGCAAGAAAACAGCGGAGCACCTGCGTATCCAAAGGCCTTCCAAGCAAGAACGAAGCCCAGGCTGTTCCACAAAGTATTGCATGGGCACTGGGCACCCTCGAGCAGTTCCCACCCAGGCCCCCTTGGAGGCAAATGAACCCAGTTTGGGAACAATTATTCTTCTAGTACCACTTCATAGTGCCAGGAGCACACAACCAAGGCTACTGACTTTGCTTCTTCCCAGGTGCTACTGGAGTTTGTTCCCCCAGTCTGGGCTGCAGCCCATCTGCAAGGTCTCTGCCAGCTGAGCCGGCACAGGACGGGGGGAAGCAGCCAAGAGGGGCTGACAGGTAAAGACAAGCTCAGGCCTCGCCGTGCTGGCCAGCTCTGGCTCACGTTTCAAACTTGCATGTGCTGCAGACCACAGAACATTTTTTCCAAACACAGTTTTGTCTCCTAAACCATTATACATGGAGTAATAGATGAGTAATTCTTGAGACCCTGCCTATCTGTTGCAGAGCAGCGTGAATAAAGACATGTTACATTTGGCGCTCGGTGCTACTTACTGGTTTGCCATCCAAACCCAGAGGCCCCTGGAAAGGGAAGAAAAAGGCAGTATTATTAAAAAAAGAAATAATAATAAAAAAAAACACAACAATTTACAAACACAGCAGTATCAGTCATGCTCTGAAAGAGGCTCTATGCAGATATAGCGCAATCGCTGGCTACGTTCCTTGTATACCTAATCCTTCACCCATGTTTTTTAGGAAGGTTTCACAGACGGACAGTAAGAGGTGCCAAAAAATGTGCAGAGTATAAAGAAGAACAAGAGCAGGCGAGAGGATTAGTGACAGGGAGAGGGTGACACTGCCCTGGCACAGCGCTCGGGACCCCCTGCGGTTTCTCAAGACTCTAAAAGAGCAGCAGTAAAACACGGCTGACTTGGTTAAACCCAGCAAGTCCCAGGAGTGACTCACGTCTACCCCAGTCCCAAACCATTTGCTTTATCAGAAGAACTCGCTGAAACTCCATCGTGTTACCCCCAACGTGCGGATCAGCCTTCACCCTCAGCCCGCATCAGGAAATCCCGTTGATGGGAGGGGGTGTCTTTCTACGGAGGAGGGAAGGGTGCATCCGCCCCGTGGGCCGATACCTACGCGCTTTGCTCATCTGCAGCGAGACGAAGCTGGAAACCCACTCGTATTTGCAGGACCAAGCACTTGGCCACCCCAGCTCTTCGCCAGGTCTACCCTTCCTGGGGCTGCTGCAGGAGTGCATGGTGAATCGACGGGATAAATGCTTATTTCCCCCCTGTTTCTGGCACGCAGCCCTTAATTAACACGAGCCACTGAAGGTATGGGGCCATAGGAAACCTCGCTTTTGAGAAAGGATGCACTTGGGGAGGGAAACACAGATGCTCTATGGCACATGGACAAAACCAAAGCTGCCCCTCCTGTCAGCTGGAGCCAGCATCCAGGCACTGGGGGATGGAGAGCAGCCGTTCAAACACCCAGCAGTTACGCTAAATCCCAGAACTGCGTTTCCACCCATCCAGGGGCTGCCACCCGAGAACTTAAAATGTTCCCTCATCCAAACCCGAAGGCGGCTCAGCCCTGCAAACCATTCCTAAAGAGACACGGCACGATGGCTGCGGGTCAGAAAAGCCCTCGCATCCCCACTTCCACCCTCACGTGCACCCATTGCGT